GCAACTCCCTGCCAGGAGGGGGCAGAGAGGGGGGATGAGTCTCTGGAGCCAAGGCCCCAGCGCCAGGCCCCGAGGGAATGGCCTCAAGCTGCCCAGGGCAGGGTCAGGCTGGCTCTGAGGAAGGATTTCTGTGCAGAAGGGGCTGTTGGGCGTTGGAATGGGCTGCCCAGGGCAGGAGGGAGTCCCCGGGATCCCTGGAGGGGTTGAAGAGTCGGGCTGAGCCATCGCTGAGGGATCTGGTGGAGTTGGGAACGGTCAGGGTGAGGGTCATGGTTGGACTGGAGGAGCTTCAAGGGCTTTTCCAACCCGGATGATTCTGTGATTCTGTGTTCAGTGGGTGCCATTGGGGTGGGGAGTGGGACAGGGAAATTGCCCCATTGCCCCCCCATCTCACCTCCCTGATCTTTTCCCCTCTCCCCAGTCGACTTCATCGGCGGGTTTGACTCCTACGGCTACCAGGCGCCACAGAAGACGTCACACCTACAGCTACAGCCGCTCTACACGTGAGTCCGTGCCAGGCCGGGGAAAGCCTTGGGGATGCTCAGGGCTGCAGGAGCCCCTCCAAGGTGCCTCATCACACCATCATAACTCAAAAGATTTGGGTCTGTGAGTCAGCTCAGCCTCAATATAAAGCCCAGAGGCTCTGGCGGGGCTGGGAACTTCTAGGGGGGATTGTGCCCTTGTTTTGCTTTTTGCTGCTTTTTGTTTGCTGAGCCTCCACACACCGGGGCTGCCCAGGGGGAGCAGCAGCTCTTCAGATAAGTGCAGCTGACTTTTTTTTTTCCTCTCCCTTACCCATTAAGCTTAACTAGATAAACGCTCAAATGAGATAAGGCTGCAAAATCTAAAGGGATTAGCCTCGTGTGGGCTTTGCTGGATGCCAAAAATTAATTATATTTTAAGCCTTCTATGCAAACTCAAGGGCACACCATGCAATTAGAGATGCAAAGAGAGGGTTGTGGTGGAACAAATGCATTTGTGATATTGTTCAGCCCTCCCTGGGTGTTTAGGCACAGTCTTTTGTGTGCCCACCCTGGTGCATGGGCGCGGATGAGCACCCACGGGTGCTGTGCACCCCGCATGGAGCCAGTCCTTCCCTGTGAGCCCCGCAGACCTCCGGGTGGGAGTGAGGGATGGCAGGACAGGAGCTTCCTGGTGTGGGGACACAGATGGTGGCACTGGCATTTCACTGCAATGTCACCCCAGGGTGGGAGCGGTGCCAGCACCCACATCCTGGGGATAGATGTGGGTGTTCTGCCCTCCCCCAGCCGGGTGCCCACCCTTGGGGATACGCAAGAGAGCGTTGTCCCATGGATAGGACATGTTCCCCCTGCTTCAGACCTGCCTTGGTGGGCTGGTGCAAAGCCTCCAGCAGCACGGGGGGGCACAGGGGGCACCGGGGGCTGCTGTGGGCTCAGTGTTCCCCAACAGCTGCAGGATGAGTGGTGAGAGCTGCAGCATTTGGGGATATTGGCAAGAATATCAATTGGGGGGGGGGAGTATCAATTTTAGATATACAGGAGGCTCAAAAGCTGATGGCAGAGAAACTCAGTGCTGAGATACCAGGATGGGGAGACGTCAGTGGGGTACAGAGGTGCTGGGGAAATTCCTCTTCTCCCTCTCTGAGAGATGTTTAACCCAGCCCTGTATCCCTGAAGGGCTCCCCTGTCTGCCCAGGACCTGTTCTGGGGTGATGGGGGGGTTTTGGGGGGTTGCATGGCTGGGCTGGGTGGGTTATGTGAACCCACCCGGGTACCAGAGCATCCCGTCCCAAGGTGCTGCTGGGCTGGTGCTGCCTGACCTCGCTCCCTGCCTGCAACACACGGTGGACAAGCCCCAGAGCCCTTCACGGGAAGCATGTGCCTGCAGGGCTGCCTCAGGCAGTGCTCCTTGTAATTAAATTGCTTCCTAATTAATCAAGCTCACTCAGACTGCCCACGTCCTTGTGGCCTTTCTGCAGGCAGGGCCGGCAGGAGGAGGTCACAACCGGGACCCTGCCAGCGTGCTGCCAGCTCCCCCCTGCCTGCAGCCCCCTCTGTCCTACCCCAGCAGCTCATTAATAACCCACCACCTAATTATATGTAGCTAAAATTTATATCAAGGCACCTCCATCACTCTGACAGCGGTGGCAGGTCAGGATCATGGACTCAGGGGGATGCACTCTGTTCATGAGGTGGGAGACACCGGGTCCTGCAGTGACACGTGGGGGACCCGAGGGGGTGTGGGGACAGCGGTAACCCCATCTTGGGGAGGGGCACACCGGGGTCTCACTGTCACCCGGCATCGGTGAGACGATGTCCAAGGTGCTGTCCCGGCTCAGTGGAGTGGATCCTGCCACTTGCGTCCCCAGGGGACAGCAGACAGGACAGAGCGGGGCTGCTGTCCTGGCCTGAGAAATTAAAGCTTATTCTGCAGTTACCAATTAGCTCTAATTGAACTAATGGTGGGCGCGGGGGTGCACCCAGCAGAAGGAGGAGGATGTGCCATGTCACCACCTGCTTCTCATCCCCTTGGGTCCCTCCTGAACAGCCAGGGTGGCACCGGGTGCCCCCCCATGTCATGTCCCCCCCAGGACAGGGGCTCTCGCCTCCAAAACCCCTCCTGTGGCACATCAGGAAGGGGGGAAGCGCAGGCTGGGAGCTGGGACCTGAGATGTGGGCAGTTGGGCCAGGGGTCTGCAGGGGGTCCCCTGCGCTGTCCTGGGGGAGACGGGGGTTGTTTCTCTGTGGTGTGAGGGGCTGTGTCCTTGCCTCGTGCCGTGGCTCTGTGCAGTCGACCTGGCCTCCCGCAGCACCAGTGTGAGGTTCATGGTTGGGCTGGAGGATCTGCAAGGGCTTTTCCAACCCCGATGATCCTGTGATTGTGTGACGCCGGCTCTGCCCACGCATTTTCCGCGTGCACGTGTACACACGAGGATGCAGAGCAATGCCCATGTGTGCTCACCCGCACACACGCCGACCTGCCCGCGCACACGCTTGTATGCAGACATGCTTGCACACGCTCGCACATGCCTGCACACGCCTGCACACACCTGCACACACACGCAGGGAGCTGCTGGCCCGCAGGCATGTGCAGTATCCCCCAGACCCCCGCACCCCCCAGCTGCTGGGAAGGTGGCCTGCCCGGAGAGAGGGCTGGCAGCATGCAGGAGTCAAGGCTCCTGGGTCCCTCCCATGTCCCTTCCATGTCCCCTCAGGGCCCACAAGCAGCCAGGGATGGGTGAGCTCCAATGGCAGTCCCTGTGTCACCATGGCAGGGGGACTTCAACCCACTGGGGCTTCCCAGCCTGGCCCCAGTTTGCTCTCTTCATTTTGGGGGGGGGGGGTGTGAAACAAGGGTGATGGCCATGTGAGAGCCACCACAGGGTACCCCAGCAGGTCTCTGTCCCCTGGGAGGGGCTGCTGGTGGCTGCCCATGGCCATGACTCCTTGTCCCCATGTGGTGACAACTTCCCGGGTCTGGGCTCACCCCTAACATCTCCTCTCCCCTTCTCTCCCCAGATCTGGGTAACCTCCTCCTGCCCTGGATCCAGCCCCGGCCTGCGTGGGAGCCAGAGGCAAGAGGACCCCCCTAGAGCGAACTGTCCCACACCCGATGACACGACCCCCAGCGAGGTGGGGGGACACAACGCCGAGCCACCCGGTCCCCTCCTGCCTCCCTGAACCCTGCAAGACCCTCGAAAACGGAGCCAGGAGCTGCACATCCATCCCACCCTGGATGCCTCTGAGCCCAAACCACCCACCCACAGCAGAATTGGTGGGGGCTGGATACAGGGGAACCCCCCCAAGCTGTGCCACCCCCTCGGGCTCCCACACCCTCCCCAGGATGCAGACATGGGGACACACGGGGAGGTGGCATCGCTCGCCAGACACCGTTTTTTTCTGTTTCTCCCAGCCTGGTTTTTCCTTGGAGCAGAGGGGCCCTTCCTGGTGTGCCAGGCTGGAGGGGTCCCGGAGCAGGACTGGGACAAAAAACATCTGGTTTGGAGCAAACTGGGACAGGGGGCAGGGGATAAACAGTGCACTGGGGACAGCGGGGCACAGGGAGCAGCTTTGTCCTCCACAGGGTTGGGACAACTTCCCGAAATGCCAGGTTTGGGAGTCAAGCTGGCCCTGAAAATGGGGTTTTTGCTTCCAGAATGAATTTTCCAGCCCCCCTGGTTGGATGAAACAGTGTCGGAGGGGCTCAGTCCAGGATGCTCCCTTCACCCCGAGGAGCTGGATCTGGCCATCAAAGTCTTGCCTCAACTCCCAAAATCTGGGGACATGGGGACAGAGCACCCCAAAATCCCTCTGCAAGCCCCCCCATCCTTCCCCATTTCAGGGGGGTCTTGCTCAAATTTGGCAATACTGATGCTGCTTTTGACACAGCCCCTTTCAGGCTGTTTTAATGAATCTAATGAATGTTTTGGGTTGGTTTTGGTTTTGTTTTTTAATTATTGGGGGTTTATTTTAATTTAAAGTGCCTGAGTAGACTCTGGCTGAGCACGACCCCCCCAGTGAGCCTGCGCTGGCCCCCCCACAAGGCCAACATCGTGCCTTCAGCAACACTCTACCCACCCCAGGGTTGCCCCGGTGCCCCCCGGCCCCTCGCCCAGGGCTGGTGGGGGGCAGCTTGGTGTCTCTCCAACCCCTCCCAGCCCATCCATCCATTTGGGGTCTCGGTGGCAAATCCAACCATCAGGTTCGGCAGCAGAAGAGGGAGATGTTGGCACGTGGGGAATTATTATTGGTGCGGGGGCAAAGAATGTGGAAGGTCCACTGGGCAGTGATCACTTTGCAAAATGAAGATGAGCTGGGAATTAAAAGCCTCAGAAGAAGCTGGAAGGAAAAAAGTAGCTTCACGAAGCATCTCAGCTCCCCCTGAACTCCTTGTTCTTTTTTTCCTGGAGGTGGGATGTGGTTTCTCCTGGATCCCCGGATCTGGTCCAAAGCCCAAACTTTGCATCTGGGAGCAGGGAGGGGTTGCATGACTTTTGCCTCCTAAGTGTTTTTCCTCCAGTCCTGGGGGTTATTTGGGGATTTTTTTTTTTTTTTTTTTTTTCACCCTGGAGTGATTTTTAGTTTGTCCTTCCCAACAAGCAGCCATGAAGTGCCAAGGACCGAAGCTACCCGAGCCCAAACCCTGGGCGGGGGATGGGCTGCATCCCCCTGCCAGCCCCTCTGCTGCCTCCAGCCAAGCTGCGAACTTTACAGGCAATAATTTTTCTGCCCTTTCCCCCTCTTTTTTCCAAGGAAAATAGTGTTTTTCAGGCAACGGATTCCCCCAGTCCCCCCAAAACACATGCACATCCCCAAGTTCTGCCCAGTGCCGGGGACAGCAGCATCTCCAGGGTTTATTTTCCTCTCCAGAATCAAGGGTGCTCTCACTGACCTGCTGTGGGGCGGGATGGGATGGGATGGGACTGGCAGACATCCGCCTACTCAAAACCCTTCTCAAACCCAGCAGGAAGCAGAAGGAAAAACTTGTCCTCATTTAAAACTCATTCAAAAGAGCTTCCCTCCCTCCTGAGCTCGGCAGGAGCCAGGCACCGGTGCTCCACGACCTTTTTTTTTCCTTTCCGTTGGCTTGTTTTTATATAAGACTGTATTTGTAACGTGAACCGAGGATTTCTTTTCTATTCTGTAATTATAAAAGTTGAAGGAAAGTTTCATCCGATGGCTGTTCTGGTTTTGGGGCATTTACCTTCCTTGTGCAGTTGGATCAATTAAAAGGTGGTGGGGGTTTTATTTTGCTTTTTTTCCCCCCTCTTTAATGCTGCCAGCTTCCTCCCGTGGGTTCTGCATCATGCAGCTTTCCGCTGTCTTATAACCCTGCACTTCTTTTTAATGATGCCCCAGCGAGATTCTGCTGCCTCTCTCGCTGCCTGTGTGGGTAATTTCCTCCCTGGTAGTAAAATAGCAGGGGAAAAAAAAAAAAAAAAAAAAAAAAAAAGCAAAAGCAGAAATACAGAAAAGCAGCCAGTGTGGGTACCACCTGCTGTGCAATGGGGATGCGTCAGTGGGCAGCTGGTGGGGGCTGCAGCCTTTCCCCTAAGAGAAATATTGATAAACCCCCCAAGAAAATTATTAAACCCCCTGGGCTGTTTTTTTCAGGGTGAACTCCCCAAATTAAACTTTTCAGGCCTGCCAGGGGCCAGGGTAGGAATTCCCTTGTGGGAGACACCAGGTTGAGGCTACAGCCCCGTAGGAAAGGTTTTCTTTTCTCCTTTCTCCCCAGATAATCACATTTTCCATCACCAAGGCAGCATTTTTTATTTAGTTCAATACCACCCCTTCGGGGTGGCACCTGCTTTGCACGTGGTTTCATTCCAAGTATCCAAAGCCATTTCACTTGCTCTATTTTTAATTGATTTCAAGCCTTCTGCTCCCATCCTCTGCCTTGGGTTTTTCTCCCCTTTGCTGTCTTTTCTAGATAAACAGGAGAAGGAAGGGGGCGATGACACTGAATTAAATCTTAGTTTTTAAATCAAAATGTAAATGTGGTGAGGCTGGGACAGCAAATATGGTGTCTTCAGTGACATCAGGGGCCAGAGCAGCTGGATGCTCTTTCTCCCCTGGGCTGAGCTTCCTGTGATGCTTCTGCTCGGCAACTCCCTGTCACAGCATTTGGTCGCCGGCTTTTTGGGGACACGGTGCCCAACTTGGTTTGTTCCCACTTGTTTCCAAATCTCTTTCCCTGTGGGAATTGAGCCTTCATCCCTGTAAGGGTTGTCCTGTCCCCAGGCAGGAGCTGGCATGGGGGGAGGCTGGAGTGTGGTGGTGCCGTCCCCAGCAGCCCTGGGTGTCCCTGGGCAGGGGTTGGTGTCCCCGAGTAGATGTCACCAAGTCACCCACAGGTCCTGCTGGCTCAGCTCTGCTGCAGGATCCCATCCCGGAGTCCAGTCTTTAGTAGAACAGACTAAAAACAGATTTCCAGACCTAAAATCCATGGATTTGAGCAGGGTGCTCAGGGATGGAGGAGTCACTGGGTTTGCCCTGGCCATGGGGACAGTAGGGTGTCCCAGCACCCCAGGGACAGGCAGGTGTTGTCCCAAAGCAGTGGATGAGGGGGTGAAGGTGGCCCCCCCAGACGGGGAACCCCCTGTGCCCCCACCCTAGAGTGAATCCCCATGAAAGGGACCCAAAGGACGCCCCAGTGAGGGTGCAGCTGCCGGGGTGGGTGAGGACAGCCCTGCCACCACCTCCGTGGGTAATGTGTGTTTGGGTGAAGCCTGATCCAACAAGAGCTATCCCATGCCTTGTAGGTACCAAGGAAGGGGGAAGGAATTTTTTTTGGGGGGGTGAGCAGGGATGGAGGCCTGTTTCTATGACAACAGCGAGGCCAGTCGGACTGTGTGGCTGTGGACTGGGGAAGAAGCGGGTCAACATCCTCATGGTCCTGCCGGAGCATCCCATGGACACACTGCCGGAGCATCAGCATCACGGCTGCACTGCTGGGGCATCCACAGCCACGCTGCTGGAGCATCTCAGACACGGTGCTTGAGCATCCCGTGGCCACGCTTATGGAGCACCCACGGCTGTGCTGTTGGAGCACCCACAGCCTCTCCGCCTGAGCATCCCGTGGCTGTGCTGCCTGGGCATCCCACAGCCATGCTGCTGGAGCATCCTGCCGTGCTCCTCCTCCCCACCTGAGGAGGAAGGAGGAAAGCTGTTTGCCTGTCCACACCCATCGATCTACCTCTTGCAAAACAACCTCCTGCTGCCCAGCCCCGTCCCAGCTCCAGCAGCCTGCCCAGACAGGCCAGCAAACCCTCTGACAGTAACGGCGCTCACCATGCCCTGTGTTCTCCTCCTGTACCTCAGAGGGGCTGGTAAGGGGAGGTAAGCACCAAACTGGAGGCTGAAATAGGGTTCTTAAAGTGGTTTTCGATTAAAATCTTTCATTTTTGGGAGGCACCTTCCAGCTTATTGCAGTGTTTGTGGTCCTAAAATTTGTGGTCTTTTATCTCGACACAGATCGAGTCCCTTTGGAGGTGGCTGCTGCAGTGAAAGGTGGTTGTGGGGCTGGCAGATGTCACCCGCGTGAGGGAAATAAAACCCCAGCATGTGCACATGTTGGCTGGTTAATGACTGCAGTGGGAATTAATTCGGAAATGGGTCTGGAACACACATCAGTGCTTTGTCCTGTGGGTGCTGTTGTGGCATGGCTGGTGAGCTGACTCCCAGCAGGGATCTGAGCACACTGGGAAGGTGGCACTGGTGGGACTGGGAAATACAGGGGATGGCTGTGGGAGCCTGGCCGGGCAGGAGTTTATGGCTGCTACTAAACTGACCCTAAGTCAGAGCAAGGCGACAGCTTTCCGCAGCCCTGGGCTCATGCCAGCGCTGGGCTGGGGTTATCTCCAGCCACCATCACCCACCCACAGCAGCCATGAGGGAGATGCTTCCGGCTCCAAAACATCCCTGCAGCACAGAAAAAGAAATAAAAATACTTGGGAAACTGCTTAAAAGCAAAAAAACCCACATCCAGCCCTTATTTGTGGGCATCCGCCGCTGGGATGCAGGATGTGGGCACTCTCGGGTGCAGCTGAAGCCACTCCATGCTGCACGGGGCTGCAGACGGGGCTCAGCACCATCCCAAAGAGTCTCTTCCAGGAATCCTTCCTCCGGCTCCGCTGGGAGGGAGGTGACGGGTTTTGCTGGTCCGTCCCAGGGTCATATACTTAAAGTTTAAATATTTAGTTGGTTAGTTACAAATAACATTTATTTAATTTCAAACATTTATTTACTTTCAAATTTACTTATTTACTTACCTATAAGTAAATATATTTATTTATAGTAAATAAAAATAGTTTATTTATCATAAGTAGTTATATCAATTTATACTAAATAAATACTATTATAATTAAATATATTAATTTATAGTAAATGAGAATGATTTATTATAAAAATATATGAACTTATATACTTATTTATAAGTAAATAAATTCAATAAGTAAGTAAATAAGTTCTTAAACTAAATAAATATAAGGCAAAGTATCAATCTACGTCTGTAGATAAAGTATAAAATTGTACTGAGGGGTCTCAGGAGTTATAACAAGTCAGATTTTAATGTCTTCTAACCAAGGAATTTTTTAAAACCGAAGCGCCAACCTGAAAAGGCTGGTTTTAAAAGCTTTTTCTGGTCTGACTGCTGGGAAAACATGTTTCAGAGGCAGCTTTTTGCTGTTTGCTCAGCGTTCACAACCAGCGGGACGTCCCAGGACAGGAGGGCTGAGATTTACTTCACAGGTAATAAATAGTATGGGTTTAGGGCTGGAAATTTGGGGGATGGTCCATGTGTTTACCCCTGAGGCAAAGCCAGCAGCATCCCGGCCCTCACTATATGGAGACAGACAAGAAAAATTCGGGATATAGAGGAAAAACAATCATCCTCTTCCCAGCATTTCCCTTCTCTTCATTTCCTTGCCACCCCTTTTCCCACAGGCATTCTCCTCCAAATTTCAATTTGCAGATTTAGAGCCACACTGACCAAGTGGGATCATTTTGAAGTGCAAAGCCAGCTCAGGTCCAGCTACTAAAAACCAAACCATGCATTTTGGGGAGTGTCACAGCTCCTTTTCCTTACAATCCGAGCAGCATCTCCCATGCTGGAGCTGCATCCCACCAGTGTTACTGGCATCACTGGGGGGCTCTGAAGAAACCCAGCCTGCTGCAGTGGTTATTGCTGCTGTTTGCCAGCTGAACCTGGGTGCCACGCACCCACCCCGGGGTCCTTGGGCAAGGCTGGGTGCTGGCACAGACCCGTCAGAGGAGATGAAGGTGGTCGATAACCCAATCTTTAATTCCCATCCCAGCATGACTCATGGGGAGAGCGAACGGCAACGCCTTGGCTGGAAGCATCTCCTCATCTACCCCGTGATTCAGGCATGTTACAGTCTCAAATCACTTCTCTCAGGAAATGGATGTTAAAACACCTCCTGACTTTCTGCCTTCCCCAGGAACACCTGACTCCTCTCTCCTCCCAGTTTGCAGCTGGTGCATCCTTGGCCCAGCAGGGAGAATGCTCGGCACATCGGCAGGTGCATTTCTCCCAGGTCCTCGCTTAGTTTTACAGCCATAATGTTATTTTCAGAGCAGCAGGGGAAATTCTTTAAAATAAAAATGATATGAATGATCACCTGAATGGCACCAGCCATCCCCACCATGCAACATCCCCCATCCTGCTCCCACCCTAGTCTGAAGCCAAGACGTGGGTGCAGCACCCCTAGCAGTGATGCTCTTGCTGCCCCAAAACCAATCAGGGCACCTCAAATTTAAAAAGCATGTGAGATGGGCATTGCACTGCTACCCACAGCCATGGGAGGGGTTGGGGGGGGGCTTCACTTGAACCCCTTACACCCTCAGTCAAGCCGGACCCTCCTTACAGCCACTGGTCCCCTGCCTGGCTGTGACTGAGATGTAATTACAGAGTCCAAGCATCTCTCGCTGCTATCATGTGAAGAAACCCTGTGTCGCTGTAAACAGGAAGGGCAGGAAGAAAAACGAGTTGATTTTCTTCCATCCCAAACCGAGCAAAGAAATGGCAGAGGAGCAACAAAGGATTAATTTACCCCGCACAGAAACGTCGGCTCCCTCCCGCAGCCGCAGGACCCTGGCGAGTCACAGATGTTAACGAGTAAAAAAGCCGCTTTCACAACCTCAAACAAAG